GAGATAGAATTATTGTTTGGAGATAATTTTTCAAAACAATTGCACAGTCTATCCTCTTTCAAATGATACTGTGCCCGTCGAATTGCTGATATAGCTGAAGATGTAGAGTGTCAGCTTTTGCCGAAGTTACGTGACAAATTGTTTTCAATATAACTCGATGAGGCAACAGATAGTAATAAAGATGCTCATTTCATTGCCTATGTTAGATTTGTGATGATTTGTCAGTAGTAGAAGAATTACTTGTCTGCAAACCAATAGAACTCAAAGGCAACAGCACTCGCGTTATTTGCTATCTTAAATGATTTTATGAACGAGGCAAACATAGAACGGAAAAATTGCGTCGGAATATGCACCGATGGTGCTCGTTCTATGTCCGGAAGATTCCAAAGTATTCAAGCACTTGTGAAACAAAAATCGCCACAGTGCGTCTGGACACATTGCATGATCCACAGAGAAGCTTTGGCTTCCAAAGAAATGAGTCCTGGTTTGAATATTGTGTTAACTACGGTTGTAACCGTAGTAAATTATATAAAAATGAGACCCCTGAAATCAAGAATCTTTTCCGCACTTTGTAAAGACATGGGTGCAGTACATTCAGCGTTACTATTTTATTGCGAGGCAAGATGGTTATCAAGAGGAAATTTTTGCAACGTGTTTTTTATGAATTAAAAGAAGAAATCGCCGTTTTCCTAGAAGAGGAAAAACAGACCGGAAGCTGAGAATTTTCGCGATAGTTTATTTGTGATGAAATTGAGCTACATGGTCGACATATTCGAGAAATTAAATAACTTGAATCTTCAACTGCAAGGAGCAAATACACATATATTGGACACGAATGATAAAGTTAATGCTTTTTGTAGGAAATTTGAATTGTGGAGCAGAAGTTTAAAGCAAGAAAACTTAACAATGTTTGCAAATTTGAATGATTGTATTAAAACTTACAAGGATGAAGAACAACATGTAAAAAGTTGTTTTTGTAACCATTGAAAATCATTTAGCAATGCTAGCAAAGAATTTTAAAAAGTACTTTCTTGCTGACGACAAACTGATATCAAGTTACAAGTGGGTGAGGGATCCATTTCATTCAAAATACTCCCGAAGGACTCTCAATTGAAGAGGAAGAAACCTTCATAGACTTCACGGCAAGCGGCGAAACCAAAAGACAATTTAGTAATAAATCACTCTTTGAATTTTGGGCAGGAGTGGATGATGAGTTTTCTGCACTAAAAAACAAGGGCATTTCGCATTCTACTACATTTTCAATTTTCAACATCTTACCTTTGTGAAACTGGATTTTCTGCGGTGGCTTCTTTGAAGACAAAATATAGATCTCAGCTAAATATAGAAAAAGAACTGAGAGTGTCTTTATTTCTAATATTAAACCCTCCTTCGAAAAACTTTGCTCTGCAAGACAGGCCCAAGGAAGTCACTAATAATTATTAAATTTGTTTTTAATTTAGTAAGTTGTTTTAATTTAATAAGTTAATTATTAAATATGTCGAAATGTATTTTGTTTTGTATGTGTGTGTGTGTGTTCTTTCCTTTCAGTCACTTAATTAATTTTTTTAAATAACATTTTCTCTTGGATATGTTCGCGCCCCCCCCCATTAGTGTGCTCGCGCCACAGGCTGAGAATCACAGCTTTAGCCGCTTATATATATAAAGAAAAGATAATTGCAAATTAGTTTGTTTAAGATAATAATAAGAACATGAACAAAAGTTTTGAAATTTTTTTTATTATTTTTTTTTATTATTTCTATTTTTTAATCTTAAAAATATAAACAAGTTTTCGGAAACAAATTTAGATATCTATTGCACAGATATTCGATTTTAATTAATGTGATATCTGTGCTTGACGTATTGGAGATATTTTTTGAATATTTGGCATAAAATTCATTAGTTCATTTAACTTTGAAATCATTTAACTTTGAAATCACCTCGTTTAAAAATATTCAACTCATTACTTGTTTTCCATTCTAGTTTTTAGTTCATCATATTTTTTTCACACACTTTCTTGTTTTCTTGCGTTTTACTTCTTGATATTGCAAATACTGCATAAAGACAATTGGAGCTACGAGAGAATTTGCAATACTCAAAAAACTTATAAATTTGGTCACCATTACCTTACTGAGACAAAACTTAAGGTTAAAATCCAGAATTATCTTTCTGAGCCTATTGTTGTTTGAAATGGGCTCAGACAGTGTGATGCACTGGCCTGCTTGCTTAACCTTGCCCTCCAAAAAATCATAAAGGACTCCAAAATTAATACTCGTGGAACTATCTTTAACAAGTTTGTTCAGATTTTTGCGTTTGCTGACGATATTGACATAGCCGCACGCACTCCCGTGTCACTTAGAGAGGCTTTTACACCTCTAGAGGTTGCAGCCAGCAAAATGCATCTAGCAATCAACCAAAATAAAACTAAATACATGCCATGTGGTAATAACAACAGCTCCTATTTTGAAATTGTGATTTACAAATTTGAAACTGTTAACAAATTTAAATATTTAGGATGAAAATTTAATACTCTCAATGATTTAATGCTGGAGATCCGTAGTAGAGTCGCAGATGCTAACCGATGTTTTTTAGGTATCAAAAATTACTTGAAGTCTAACTTCACTAGCAGAAAAACGAAGATTTTAATTTACAAAAGCTTAATCAGACTCATTCTTACATACTCTGCTGAGACCTGGGCAATGACAGAAAAAGCTAAAAGTATCATTTCTGTCTTTGAAAGAAAAATTTTGACAAGTATTTTTGGTGGCATAAAATGTAACAATATCTGGAGAAGAAGAACTAACTCTGAACGCTATAAATCCAGTAAAGAAATAGATATAGTAACATATATAAGGATTCAGAGAATTAAATGGGCAGGACATCTGCGCGGAATGGATTAAAATTGAGTAACTAAAAAGATCTTCTCGGCCAGACTATTCAACACCCGAAAAAGAGGAAGATCTAAACTTAGGTAGCTCGACTGTTTGAAAACAGACTTAAGAATTTTAAAAATAACCTTTTATTCAAGAATCTAGATATTCCGAGCAAACTAGAATTAAAATTATTATAATAATCGATTGAGAACAATATATCAGACTACCATTTCTTCGTTTAAAATTAGCTAAAAAAAGCATCCTTAGTTCGTCGTGGATTTTGAGCAGAAATTGGAAGAACATTTTTTTTCAGTTTTGAGGACGATCAGACGCAAGTTTCTGTTATTTCAGAACATTTCTCATTTATTAGTAAAATTCGCTGTTCGATCTTTTAATGATCCTTTCTCTGAGTTTATTTTTTAGGAAATTTACAGCATATTATATCAATCAGTTTCCACATACATCAACCAATCGAAAAGAACGTTAAATGTTTGTGTCAAGTAAGATCGAACTTTACTGTAATTTTGCATCAAAGGGAGCCTTTGTGTATCACTAGTATATCAGTGTCTAAAACGTTTTCGCTCTGTTAGGAAACATTTCGGCGTTCTCCCCTATAAACCCCAAGCAGCGAAATCATGACAGAACGTTTCACACAAAACGCTTTTGGATGTTCTTAAAAATTCTTCATTTTTCGGTGGCACGTGTGGGGTCTATCTGCATTAGGCACCTTGCGCGATTGCTCTACTTGGCCACCCTCAAAGTCGTTACTGGAGTCAAGGAACATGAATCTTATATTCGCAACGAAGAAATAAATCCTTAATTATAAGATCTAGCTAGATTCTACAAATGAACCTGGCGAATTCTCGCACAGGCGTGAATAAAATACCAACACGGAAGAAGGGTGAAAATAACCCTAATAATTCAACTCAGAACAGAAAGGCACGTACTTCGTGCTTTTACAATAATATCGACCACTTGCGGTAGAACTTAAACGTTATAACATAAATCAGTTCAAGTCTAAATAGAATAGTGCTGGATTAGCACGTTAAGTTACGACTAACTAACGTCGACTCAACAAAACCTGACAGGCGTGACAATATAATTCGAAATGGCCGATGGGCGTACTAGCGTGACAGCGATATAAGCAACGAAACGTGCGCTAGCTAGCAAAAACACGCTCTGAATAAACTCAGAGATTCACCCGCTTAAATACACACTTTAAATTTACATGCTGGCGAGGAAATGCGAAGAGAAGTTGATGAGTTCAGGAACGATAACAAAAATTTGAATAAAATGTTAGTTAACTGTAGGAAACCCTACACAATAGCTAATTAATCTTGAGCACTTGATCACATTTTTGACGTTGGCTGTGCGAAATTTATCCATAAAGCTTCTTCAGTCAGTGAACTATATTTCCGTAACACTTTTCACATTCACGAAAATTATCTTCTTTATTTAATGACCAGTTCTTCCTAACGCTTTTAGAATTCTAACATGTTAGTTTTTCATGTTTCGTTACTAATCTCGATATTTTTGTTTCCGCTTTGCTTTATCCTTTTTGCTTTCGAAGTAAAATGGCTGTTGCTTTTCTCACTTTTGTGAAAATGTATTTCCTCCTGAAGAAAAAGAATTTGTCTATCATATACCATGAAATCGGTAGAATTGTATTCAAAATCTATACCAAATTGAGACTGCTCTTTTTCCTAAACTTAAATTTTGTATCGGAGTGCTTCCTATCCAAATTTAACCAATCTTCAACTCATCTTCTCGCTGTCCTCCTGACATCTTCAATTAAAATTCTGATGAACAATTGTACAGATTTGCATACCTTTTTTCGAGTAACTCGAAGAAGCAATGCTTCCTAATTTCCATATAATATTCATATACCTAGGGATATGCATAACTTACATTCAACTATCCTAATTTAACAATATTCAGTTCTTTCCACTGGGGTCAGGTGTTTATTATTTAAACAGCTGCATACATTTAGGATTTCTAATAGCATATTTCAATATAAATTGATTTCCGAAATGTTTAATTTGCAGTGTTATTCAGAAGGAGTTCGCAATCCTCTCGCTTTAATAAGCAGATGATAATGAACGAAGCAGGAATTTCAGTAATTAATCTTACCCTGCATTGGTATTGCGAAAGACCTCTTCGTAGCTCACAGTCTGCATTTCCATCACAAACGATTCCATCGGGACACATACCTGGATGAGGATGACATCCGAACGTTTGATTGCCAACGAAACCTTCAATGCATTCTCCACAGGTAAAAGATCCCTAAAAGATAAAAATATGTATAGTTATGCATACAAAAATATGTTTCAAATTATTCATAACATATGCATTAGGGGTGGTTTAAGACGATTCAAGAGTTTGCTTTGGAACTACAGGACGCGTTAAAATCTCTCTTCCATGTTTATATTCCATGCAGAATCTTGGGCTTCTCTACGGGAGAAAAATCTGCACCCGCATACATAACCTATTTTCATTTAAAATGTATAAAACTCTAATAACATAAATAAACTTTTAAAAAACTCAAAAAGTTAAACATTTCGAAACATTAGCGCACTCGAAGGGTAAATATTTACCCCCCCCCAGTTCAATATTTTAAAAATTGCACAATGACTTCATTACAAACGAGGAAAAAAAATTAAATGTAACGAAGATTCTACTTTACTATTATTTAAAATGAAAATGACTAGTATTTTTTTATGAATTGGCGCATTTGTATCAAATTTATTGCATTTGTACTATTTTATATTATTTTTACGATGATTCGTTCGAAGAAGTTTTGTTGCTTAATAACAAATATATTTAAGCATAAATACTTATCTTCATGTTTACGGAATATTTTGAAAAATTTTATAGTGTTTAAGCCTAATATTTATAAGGTATTTCTCCCACCTTCTTGGCATGTCTTCGTGGTGTGGTGGTCTGCACGCTGGGAGCTAATTCCAGAGGTCCGTGGTTCGATTCCCAGGGAAGGCGTTGCATATTTTTTCTCTTTCCTGTTTCGAAATAACCTAATGTCTTTACATATTCTTCACTGAAAAATACTGAATGTAGTAAAAATGATTCTTGCACCAAGTATTAAATTCTAATAGGGATAGTTTTTAATAGTTTCTTTCTCCTGAAACTCTCCTTGTCTCTAATAGCTGTCCCTCAAAACTAAACGATGGATAATTAGTTACCGAAATTATAAGATTGGTCAATCATTGTCATTTGACTTCTTGCAGTCGTAGGTGGAGGAGTTCCTGGCAGTTGAGGTTAGGAATTTGTGGATCAGGTACATGTATAAGCGGAGCGGAACAGCAAAACTTTCACCATTGGGCCTAATAGGTGTACTCCCTTCACAATAGCTATTAAGATCCGCCCAATGTTTTATGAAGAACACACGGAACTTACGGTTCCAAGTGTCATTCGAGTACCAACATGGCTTGCTGAAACCATACATTTACAAACATTTATTCCTTTTTCCGAGATTCACTGGTCGCTGGATGCCCTCATCTGTGGCTGAGTTGGGGACAGGAATAAACCTGCTATGAGGACAGCAGGCGTATCCTTCTCCGAAATTCGAGCCCGAGGCCAATGATACAACAAAGAGAAGCACTAACCACCTTACCTATCAAGGCGGCAACATACGGTGCAGCAGTTATTTTATCAATTAAGTTACACTGAGGATCTCGTTTTCGAAACTATTACAGGACATAGATAAATTTTAAATATTTTTGTATCTCATTCCCTCCTGATTTTTACAACCGAGTCTGCTACTTTGGTTTTTCAGAAAATTCACCAAGAATTGAATTCAGAGAAAAATCGCATCGTGTACTATTTTATTTATATATAAATTCCACATGCTTTAACTCTTTGAATGCCAAGTATAGTGTGTTAGTTAATTTGCTTGCAGTTCAAAATATTAAACTGAACACGTTACCAAATATGAAATTAAAATCTTTCTTATATTTCCACTTTTAAAAAGGAAAACCAATTAAAGTAGGATTTACCTTCTAGGCATCTTGAACAGGCTGCTTTTTTTGGGGGGGGGAGTCAAGTTTTTCAGAATAATTTGGGAAAGGACGTGCGCGAGGTTCTCAAAATTGTTTTACATGATTCAAATCATTTAGGAACTTTTTCAACATTATCCCTTATGTAAAATAATATTCACTGCATCAAATCTCAGACTGATAATCGTGTTCTTCATTAGTTGAAGTACATGGTCTACCAAATATGTTCATCCTGGACGCATTCCCTGCTTTCTGTAAATATTTTGTATCACTAAAACACTTTTGCTTTTCATAATGTATTAACCCCCAAATGGTATTTATAGTATCTGAAACATTTTCGCATCATCTTCTTTGCACACCCTCACCATTTGGGTGAATGCCAAAAGCAGAAATCTTCATTGGTAAATGATAAAAAAGAATTTATTTACGAACAATAAAAGGAAATGAAACACAGATTGTTGATAGATACAGAAACAAGTCGTATAAATATCTCACAAAACTTTACAAGCAAAACCTTGCAGATTAAGCATTTTAAACAAATCATAATTTATACCCTGTTTTACAAGTATTACATCGCTATAATGCGCTCTTTTTACAAATTACCCAAGTTTAAGAGCATACTTCTACCATTTACACAACTCGTATTGAGAGCAGAGACGAAAAACCCATATTTAAGAATATTTTGAAAGCTTCTTCCAGGCATAAAAAAGTAAGCAAAGACTTGTAAAAACAGACTCTGTAGCATCTTATTAAAGTGATGTTCAGTGATTTCTCTGGATACAGCATTGTGGCACTGCATTTTGATTTCTCCTTTTACGTGTATTTCTGTATCTGTGAATCACGACTCTGAAGGCTGAGATGTTCATATGTTTTGCTATGAAAGCAAAATCTGAAGAGATACTTATTTTGATTTTTCTTTTTATCTTTTTCTTTTTCCCCTTTGGTGGTCTTAAGAAAGCTTATATTGTGTTTCGGAGGGAGGGGGACAGATTTTTTTTTTTTCAGTTTTTATTAATGTTCTTGCTAGAAGATATTTAGGATAATATTTCAAAATTACGAGACTTGATGACACATTATAGCTTCGACAGAATTTGATATAATTTCAATGCAAATCGAAAGAAAGGTTGTGGTAACCTCATCTTACTTAAAAGTGTTCAGAATTAATTTGCTGAAAGCATTACATCATAAAGCAATAAAATGAAATTAAACTGGGAGAGAAATGAGCAGAAAATGAATTCGTTAACAAACTATTAATTCCAAAAATATGCTAATTAAGCAGTTCCAAATACAGATTAAATTCAGTTACTTACTTACATTCTCGATTAAATCCTTCATAAAATGAAAACAAACACATACAATGTATACACAGTATACATCATTAATCAAAATAAGATCCTTGGACGTATATCAGATAATTTTTAAATAAGAAATAAAGGGAAAATAAATAATCTCCCCAGTCTTATAAAAAATCCGATTATTATTATAACAATATTTTATACTAAATGACAAACGCAGTGGTCGAAATACATATTGTGTCTACAGGAAGCACTGTATACAATACTGTATATAAATACTTTTCTGCTATCCAAAATTAAAAGTAGTTTTTTAATATGCTTTAACATCTCTGAGCTTCATTTGGTAATTGATTTCAGCCCATTCGCAACGTTAGACGATTTAATAGGGTCTTCGGGTTTCACAATCGTAGACACCATCGTACTCGGGTGCCATATACAGTACCTAAATGCCAGATACGCATGCCATCATTATATTTCTCACAATCTCTTTTTTCAGCTCTCTGGTGATTCCAGCAATTTTCATTTTATCTTGAATTTTCTCATTAACTTTCCTAAAACTCGTTGTTAAAGAATTTACAAAACATTTACTGCAAAAAAAACACAGAATCACTTGAAAATTCAGAATCGTAACGCGGAATGTATATTGAATAGTAGCAATAGGCTCGGGAAGTTGTAGCATTGTCTAGAAAGAGGTAAACAAACAAATGTAGATTGCGCAGCCACAGTTGATTCAACGAGCTCGAGTCGTAATCCAAACAAATATCGTGTACCAAACAAAAATTTTTCATCCAAACAGGATGCATACCGAGTTGAACGTATTTCAAAGCGGACGAACACGGAGATAACAATCGGTATAGTAATATTTGCGAAGTAGATATTTTTTATAAGTCTCTTGAAACAACTTATGCTAAAATTACTGAAAATAAATCTCCAACTGCTCTATTTTTCCAAGCCCATAAGGAAAAGTGGCTGAGCACCGAGGCATGCGGGCCTGCCGCTTGGGGATTTTCGTGGTTTTCCCATGTGTATACGAGGCAGTTTCCCTTATAAAGTTCTCCACGAAGTTTTTTCAGGCAGACACCCCCGAGTATTCTACTATAATCAGACAATCCAAAAGCCTATTGTTCCGAAATTTTAGCAAAGACTTTTGACCAAAATGCATAGTATTTGTTTGAATAATAAATTAATTCAAACTTTAGCTCTTAAATGCACGAAAAATAATGTGATATTAAAACGTTTAAATAGAGAACTTCTGTGATTCACGAAAAGCGACACAAAGCATTTTATAAAAACTAGTGATAACAAAGAACTAATACTACACGTTTAAAGCCATATACTATTTTAGTAAGCTTCTCAATAGTATCCCTCAGAAACTCATAAAAGTTAAGAATACAAGTAAAATAATAATAATAATGATAATAATAATAAAACACTGAACAAGGAATACATTGTAAAAGAATCGTCATAAATCATACGTTATTTCTCACATCTATGTCAAATATGAATGAAATGTAAATAACTTAATTTTTGAGAATTTTAATAAATTTAATAAAATACATTTTTATATATATTTTTATTACTTGTAAAAGTATTGTGATAAAATTTAATAGTCAATACATTCAATAACACACGCAAAAATAATATAATTTCCTAACGAATTCAATGAACAGTTATTTTCACACAATTAAATTAATGGTTTGAATTTTAACTAAACAGACATAAATAACACATATTTCTAAAGAGCAATATAATCTTAGTGTTTAAAAATGAAATTACCATAGTATTGACGCATTGCGAATTTTCAACACAGCCGCCATTTCTACCATCATCGCACTCATTAATATCGAGGCAAAGCTAAAAAAAAATTAGAAGATAAAAAAGATTTTACAACATTTAAACTTTATTACAATTTTACAAACTCATATTCATACGATATACTTTCAGCTTCTGACAGTGAAATTAATTTTAAGATATTCAATATTTATTTATTATGAGTGTACAGCACATGAAAAAATTCTGAATAATATTTACTCTGTTTTTTCACTAAATAATACTCATAGATAGATTAAAAATTATTTGGTTCTTTGGTGATTTGAAGAAGAAAATCTCACATATAATAAGCTTGACAGCCCCCAAACAGAAAAAAATACATTTCATATAATACGAATTTCCTAAAAAGTAAAGAAAAATATGTACGAATATTCTGTAAAACTCTGAACACTTATCCAAAATATTTTTTCAAAACGTTCAACGTAGTCTGGAGTTTGAAATCGTCATTTTTATCTCGAATGTTACAATTATTAATGTCATTATTTAAACAGCTAATCATGGATATTTAACCACAGTTTCGATTCTCACGGAAATATTCAACCATCTACTCTATAGATACTGTTGCCCAGTCGATATAGTGGTCAGGGAAGCTGACAGCGATCAAATTTCTAACATCTTAGCTTTTTCATCACTCATTTGCTCGAGAGATTGGGCGCTACGTACATTTTACCTTTGTCTTGCTTAGTCATTTCCCAATAAATATGTTTGCTGCTCCTCCCAAATTTTAATGCTAACAACCAATTTTTTTAGCGGCCGGGCTAGAACAGGTTTAGCATTCAATTATCTCTCTTAAACATTTTTTTTGCTGTTGAAGGAGGGAGACATCTGTTTGATCGCATTTGAAATCGATATAGTTTTATTCAAAATGTACGCCGATTTAAGATAAAGCTTTTACTTAATTTTAAATGACATTAAATTAAACTTAGATGAAAATAATTCTTGCAAGAATTTCAGTAAAATTTGTATTCGGACATTAAAGTTTCGTCTTCCATTTCAATTTTTTTTTATCAAAATGTAAATCTTTTTTATACATGAATGACTTCGCTTCTTGATTGTTGTTACAAGTTGGGATTTCCTTGCCTTCCAAATGAATTCCCTGCGGTTGCTATTGCATTGCTTTACAATGAAATAGCACATGAAGACAACTATTTGAAGCGTTATTTCCTAGTTTTAATAAACTAGTTTTATTAAACTGATTTTAATAATAGTTAAATATCAGTTTATTTCTTATGATATTTCGCTCAAATATATAACTTTCATTAAAATGTTTTATGTCCCTGCTACAGCGGATGAAGAAATAAAATAATTGAAAAATATATAGGATAAGAATTTTTCAGCAATACAAATTTCTTACTTAATATTGTTAGTTAGTCTTGCTCGGATTACCCTTTTACTAAACAAACCAGAAAATCACTGAAATATTCAGTTATTTTGGGTATTTCTATCAATGATTGTAAGAGAAATCGAGTTCATCGCAAAGTCTCCAAAAAGAAAAAGGGTCTGTTGATATCAAAGTTTCTTTGATCTTCCTTCATCATCAAATATTCAGAAAACGAAAACGGAAGGCGAAAGCGATTTGCTAGCTGAATTGATTAAAGACAGATCTTTGTATGCATATAAAAAGGATGAAACGGACAAATAGTGTAAGGTTGGATAATGCAATTAATATCTGTAAAGCCTAAATCAGCGTTTATGCGTTAGAGCATTATAATTGCATGATTATTTATTATGATTGATCTATAAATAAAATGTAATTATTAATGAGCCAACCAGCAAAAAGTGCCAAGCTTGCTTTCAGTTCTATTGCTGTTCAGTTCTGGGTTAGCTACGCCCCACAAGTTATCGAGTTGTGAAGACAGTTGAATATAGGTAATTCGACCTGCTTGTGTTCTAGCGTAGGCGAAAGAGTTGTCTGCATGGTTAGTTTCCGCGGTCTTCGCCATGTGTAAAGTGAATACGAGATAGTTTCCACGAAGTTCCAGAAAGTTCTCCACAAAGGCATTCCTCCTCTTAGACAGGCAGCCCTTGTGGTTTCGGCCTATTCGATTAACCTAATATAGCCTAATTTAACCTGGGTTAGCTACCTGTGACTGAAAGAACTGGCTGCAGACATTTCGCAATTCCTTTCCTATGTAGCATGAATACATGACAGCTTTTTCTTTACATCTTTTCGAATATAAGATCTCATTAGAAACATTCCATATGATTCTAAAAGTTTTTGACATTATAAATAAAAATATTGTAACATTGTCATCACCACGCAAAAATTTGAATCTGTATTTTTGGTTACAAGTATTCTTTATTTTTTTTTATTTTTTATTGATTTTTTATTTTTTTAATTTATTTTTATTTATTTTTTATTTTTATTTTATTTATTTATTTATTTATTTATTTTTTATTTTTTTTATTTTTTTTTTTTTTTTTTTTTTTTTTTTTTTTTTGCAGACGCCTCTTTACTGGTTAAACGAACTTTCCTGTTACCCGATATATACATATATATATATATAAGTTACTTCTTCGAACTTGTGGGCGAAACTTGTAACTTGTGGGCGAAAGTCACAATTCGATTTTTTTTCCAAAATCAAAGGAATCAAACTTTTAAACTTAAAAATGACTCTGTACATTTATTGTTTTGATGTACAAGATTATTTTCATCGTTTAGATGTTGTGTCAATAATATATGTTATATTTTTCTTACAAGTACCATATTTTTCTAGAGTAAAATTACATTTACACGTATATTTGTTATCTAAATTAGAAGAAAAACCTGTAACTCTGATTGGAAACAATTAAGTTCTCATATTAGATGTACTATTAGAACGTTCTTGCGTTTATACTACATGTCTAGCTTATCTAAAATAGAAATTTTCCATATGAGATACGACTTGGAAAAATCAGTATGACATCATCAATTAAACCTGGGGAAGGAGAATTTCATAGTTTCAAGCGGAAATTGAATCTGCCTTTTATTTAGGTGTAAGTTTTTAGTTTTAGTTTATGAATATATATTAAAAAAAACTACTTTTATTTAAATTTTGGATTTATATACATTTTATATATATTCTTTGTTTTTATTTTATAAAATAAGTTAAAAAATAATGTAAGTCTAAGATATATATGTATGCATTTTTTAGTGTTCGAAATGGGAAGAAATGATCATGGTGTTGAAAATGGTGAACATGATACATGGGACAAATCAGATTGAGAACCACTGAATTAAAGGATGCCTCTTTTAGCCGACGTAGTTTCAAAAGCGCAAGATACAATAAAATTAATCAAAAATCTATTTTAAAACACTTCTTTAAATACTGCGCATATTATGACCAGCAAGTAAAATGCTATGACCATTTAATTACAAACTGCCTAAATTATTTACAGAAGAAAGACAAATTTTTCATCTATCTCATTTAATAAAATCTTTTCTCGTTTAATAAAACTCGTAATGTATTTTTATGTTAATTAACCAGGTATTATAATTTTGATCTTTACAATAACTCCTTCCTTCTTAGCTTTGAGAGTATGCAATCTGAGGTTTTGAACCTGAGAGCTTGATTCGAGTCGCGCTGTTAGAATTCCTATCTAAAATAGATTATTCCGGTCTTTGCATTCTCTCACTAGCCGATGCTTTAGACTTACGTGTGATTAAAAATAATGAACCTGCTTATATTTTTATTATGTTGAATACTCTTAGATTACGTTACCGGCGTTTGAATTGAACCGACTATGATTGCTGATTTTACCCCGCCACAAGTGGCGGTCTGTCAGTACCATAAGTCATGCCTTTTATGTTAAAAGTTTATAGACTAAATATAAATGCTATTTAAAACTTTTCCTGTATTTGCGTAGTTTTAAAGACGTAGCGATAACTCGCTAGCCTGCCTAGGGCCCGCAGAACTTTAATTTCGGCTTTCAGATTAATATCAGCTCTACTGTCGTGAGCAAAAATTCTTACTTTTAACACCTGAGTGCAACAGGCTCCGACATTGAATGCATAATCAACATCTACAAATTAAAATACCATTCCAAATTTTTTGTAGGTATTTAATAGAATTCGTTTCACAGTTACATTTGCAAATTATATGTAACCACGATAGCATAAAATTTCACTTATCGAACATCAATAATAAGCACAGCGTAATTTTTTCTAAATTTTAGAAAACCTTTGTAATTTAAATACCTCAATCTTAGACATATGAGTCCTCATTTTCTAAAAACCCAGCAAATTGAAAAATATCCCTAATATACATAGCGGATTTCATTTCTTCCAAATTAAAACTGAATTTCTTAACGCAATAGAATCGCAAAATGAATTGGCTGCATTAAAAACAAAATGCATGCAATATCATCCGCTGTTGCCATTCAAGCGATGGCCAATTTTTTCTATTACACTACTTTATTTATTTATTTATTTTGAAAGCTCGCACAACAAATTCTGTAGCCATAGTTGGAGACTACAGTTGTTGCCAGACTTATTCTCGTAAAATGTGAGAGACACAACACCTAGAGACTGAACTTTAAATGTGGCAAATCTTGCCATCTTGACACATTTACTTTTTACTTCAAAAAATTAGCTAAGTGGAACTCAAGAAAACCCAAGCTTTTCTTTTGCTGATCATTTAATCTTCTTCGTAAATACCACTTCTGTGAATAAGGTTATTATTTTTTAAATTATACATGTGAAAGATTTATAGTGCTACGATTTTGTATTTATTTATCTATGTTTAGTAGAATTTGTAATAAAAAATGTTTTGTATTCTCGTGGAATTCAACACGAGACTTATTTAAGGAGAAAGCTACGCCGAAAAAATTAAAAATACTCACGCGCATTTGATAAATAGATATATCTCGTAATTATACTCTTTAGCTTTCTAGTAAAATCGAGAAAATACCAGAGTATTCTCGTGCGTGATTAAAAGGCTGAAAGAAAACATCTCAAGTTGTTGTTTGGATAACTCTTGTGTTTACTGTAGCGATTTCGCGGTGAAATCGGATTAGCTTTCTCTGTTTTGAATTCAGTTCTGTT